CAGGTCTGGTGGGTGTATGATACAGTATGGAGAAATTTGAATAGATAGACAAGAAGGAGTCTATATATTTAATAGTCTAACTTTTCCTGAGACTTTATTTTATTTTGATTGGAACCATCCAAAGTCTTCAATTTAGGAGAGATTTTCTAAGGATTCTAAGCATAATGGAATTGCCCAGTGGAAAAAGGAAATTCCTTCGGAGTTTGCAAAAATGGGGATTCTGCAGGGTCCCATGCACAACTCAATGACTGCCTGGTCAATGGAAAATCCATCTTTCGTGAGACTAAGAGGAAGAGACAGATGTTTAGTATTATTCCTTCGAGATCCTAAGCTTCTCTCCCACCAAATGCATATGACAGCATCACTGTAGGTGGTGGAATAGCTTTCCTCAGTATTAACACTTTTGGACCTTTACACTGTTGCAAAAGTGGCCTAAAACCCTTAAAGGGTACCCACAAAGGCTGTACACTTCTGGGTAAGTTTTCTTGTGCCAAATGTAGCAGGGTCTCTTCTACTCAAACCATTAAAATAATGTGGCCCATGATCTCCTATCTTACTTTCCACTGCATTCACCATCAATACCCCTTTGCTACTCAATTCTGGCTCAATGGGGCTGCAAAATTTCCTATCTCTTAGCACAACAAGCTAACCAGTGCATTCATGGAGTACTGGACCCTTTACTCAGGTTAGGCTGATGAAGTCCAAATATAATAACAAATTGTTTTAATGTCTCAACAAATGCTTTGGATGGATGCTTCCACCCATTTCACATCCACTTCGTGTAGAATTTAAATGTATGGAAATATACCCATACAATCTGCTGTGATGTAAAGGTAGGCTATGTTGTTTAGTTCCATAGGGTACATCTCTCATTAGAGTGACAAAACTGATGGTGAGTTTCACCACACCTCAGGTGAGGAGCAAGGTTGACGAAGTAGGACCTTCATGGGAACCTTAGCCAATGTGGGAATTGAACCCACACTGTTGGTATCACACTGCATTGCAGTTCAACTATCCAGCTAACTGACTCAACCTGCAACATTTGAATATGGCAAAATGCTCATATGTTTTGATCGAACATTTATCAAAGCTCAAGAGACATGTTTCATCATGTTTGGATTTGAAAAGAAATGCAAAAGCTGATGAATACATGTCATTTATTTAGCATAGCATTTGATAGCACATTTGTACATTATGTAAGTGACAAGATATTGTTCACAGTTGGATAGTTAAATGAACAGTTTTCTGGCAGCTATTGTAATTTTGAATTACCGAGAAAAGAATTGCTTGTTCATAAGTGAATAGTACTTGAATCAAAGTCCAGTAGCATTGATCTGAATTCTTCATCTCTCATAGTACATTGGAAGTAAATAGAAATCCATTAATTTTTCAAACCTAGACATTTCTTATTAAACAAGATGACATTGAAAATCTGTATTGCAAACAGTTTTATTTATTGTGGAATATACTGCACAGGCTATTCAGCTTGTCACAATAGTGGTAAAACACAGGCTCCTAATTTTCAAATTGCATCATTTTTCATAGCTGGAACTTTCATGGACATAAATAGTTTTAACCAGGTGACAAAACACCAATTTAAAATGGCCACAACAATTAGCTGACCACACGTTAGCCAAGCTTCATGAAACCAATGTAGAGTAAAGTAATTTGTCTCAACTGAAAGTAATATCTTCATCAAAAGAAACACAAACCAGGGTCCCGGCCTGAAACGTCAGCTTTCCTGCTCCTCTGCTGCTGCCTGGCCTGCTGTGTTCCTTCAGCTCCACACTGTGATACCCTAGATCACCCAGTTAGGTATTAAAAATACTTTCATCCTTTTTTTTGATTTATGCTTGTATGAAAAGTTTCACATATTTCACATTAGGTACTTGCTTAATATGTTGAGGTTCCAAGTATAGCCCTTGTTTCGGAAGACTTGTGGTTGATATGCAAACTACAGTATGCAGATGATTCTTGCATCTGCCCATGAGACCCATCCAAGCTGATTGAGCATAATCAATGGTTTGTTGATGGCTTGAGCAAGAATGCTGATGTTAATGTGCTTGGCAAAGGTAGCACTGGTGGCCCCTCGCAGAGTTTTGAGATGCCTGTTGTACACAGTCCGCAGCTCAGAACCATATAGGAGGGTGGGTATCATTACTACTCTGCAGGCCATGGGTTTCATGGCAGTTTTGAGATCTCAATTTTCAAACACTTTGTTTCTCAGGTAACTGAAGTCTGCCTATACTGGTACACTGACAACAGTGTTGAACTTTCCCATTAATCTCTGTCCCTATTGACCGTAAGCTCCCATGGTATTGAAAGTGGTTCAATTTGTCCATGAATTTTGATAACTGTAGAGGGGGTGGGCAGGTTGCCATGGTATGGTGGCAGCAGGTTGTAGAGGAACTTGGTCTTACAAAAATTATATGTAAGGCCCTTGTTCTTGTATAGCATGGAAGTATTGGCTAACCTCCAAGTGTGCACAAACACAAGAGTGTTCTGCAGAATAAAATTCATTGACAGAGGATGAGATAACCTCAGAACTGGGCTACAGCTGACCGAGGTTGGTCAAATTCCCATTTGTTCAAAGATTAGCTTCACTAACACAGCTTTGCTTGACCCTAGTATGAAATTGAATTGTGTCTGTGTTGGATCCATTGCTGAGGCTCATGGCTTGCATGACATTATGGACCAGGCAAAAGATAGAGGCAAATTTTGTTAGAATAAGGGTACCATTGCACTCCCTACATTGTTTTTCTCCAGTTTCCTTTTGAAAATATCTAAGTTATCTGCTATAATCTTTTGCTATAATTGTGAATTCAATATTCTAAACATTCCCTGAGAACTGAGATTTCTGTTCATTTCTCTATTTGATTTGACTAACTCTCTTATGTTTAATGTCCCTTGATTTGGTTTCTTTCATGTTTATCCTATCCAACAAATTTATAATTTTATAGATAATACATAAATATTCATAGATAATCTTTGTACTAGGCTTCCTTTAAGACTTCTTATTTATAAAAATAAAAGATCTAACTTGTTAAGTTTTCACAATAGTTATCATATTTCATTCTGATGTTATCCTTTCAATCAGTTTTGCAATTCCCAAAGTGGTGCCACTTTGTTGATATGGGATAATACTTACATGTGGTAGTGTATGTAGTCTTTATTTTCTATGAATATTTAGTTTGAATGCCATTAATTTGACTATTATATTGTCAGTACTGGTGCAATTGCCAAACAAATAGGTTGCACCATTATTTAGCATAATTTGACTTGTTAATGTCCGTTCCTTCACTTAAATCAGGACACCTGCTGTTTGGTTTTCAACACAAATCCATCTCCCTGCTCTGCAATTAAAATATTGCTGTATAATTAAAGACCTATTCCATCGTGAAAGGTCTACTTTCTGCTTTGCAATTAAAGTTCCAGTTACCTCACACTTATCCAGTTTAAAAACCTTGCTCTGTATCTTTGTGGTGAAGCCTAATCTATCTTCTGATCTTTAGACCTGCCTGATATTAATCATAAATGTATACAAGTTACGTACAACTCTCAACTCTGTAATTGAATCTTCACTTCTTTCTTCTTAAAGGACTCATTATCATCTCTAAAGATTCTATTTCATTCTTCCAGTTCCTCCATCTCTGTCACATCTGTTTTGATGTCAACTTTGATAAGGGAGCCTCCAAAATGTCCATCTTCTTCCTCAGCTGAGGATTCCCCTTCATTGTGGCTGACAGAGCCCTCAGCTGGATCCAATTCATCTCCTGCACTTCAGCTCTCACCCCTCTTTCCCCTCCCACAACAGCATAGTGTCCCCCTTGTCCTCACTTACCATTCCAACAGCATCCACATCCAAACGATCATTTTCACCACCCCCAGCCACATATTGCCTTCCCCTCCTTTGTCAGTCTTCTGCAAGGACCATTCCTTCTGGGATACCTTGGTCCACTCCTTTTTCACTCCCAACACTCCACCGCCCAACCCTCCCCCCGCAACACCAGCCACAGCCCCATGGCGCCTTCCTTTGAAATCACAGAAGGTGTAACATCTGCCCATTTATTTCCTCCCATCTCACTGTCCCAGGTCCCAAACACTCCTTTCAGGTGAAGCAGTGCTTCACCTGCACTTCACCCAATCTAGTTTACTGATTCGCTGCTCACAATGATGTCTCCTCCATACTGGGGAAACAAAGCACAGACTGGGTGACCACTTCGCAGAACACCCACGTTCTGTCTACAACAAAAGATCCTGAGCTTCCAGTTGCCTGCCACTTCAACACACCATCCTGTTTGCTGGCCAACATCTCTATCTCAGCCTTGTTGTAGTGCTCCAACAAAGCTCAGTGCAAGCTGGAAGAACAACACCTAATTTTCTGCTTGGAGACCCTACAGCCTTCTGGATCTAATATCAAGTTCAGCAATTTTAGGGCTTCAACACGTAGCCCCATGTTTTACCCCACCCCGACACACCAGGCCTTTCATTACGAGGGTTGCTACCACTGACAATCCATTATCTGCTGCTAATTGTCCCCATTAGCAGCTATTCTTTGCCCCAAACTGGCCTTTAACCACTCCCCAGTTCTGAGGAAGAGTCACCGGACCCGAAACGTTAACTCTGTTTTCTCTTTCACAGATGCTTCCAGACCTGCTGAGCTTTTCCAGCAACTTTGTTTTTGTTCCTGATTTACAGCATCCACAGTTCTTTTGGTTTTTAACCATTCCCTTGTCTGTCCAACTGTTTTTCTCTCTCTTTGGGCTCCATATCCATTTATTGTTTTCTCTCCCCCCTCCACCCACCCCATGTTCTGTATAAAAGTATCCTTTTCCCAGCTATGATCATTTCTGAAGAAGTATTACTGGTCTCGAAATGTTAACTCTGATTTCTCTCCACAGATGCTGCCAGACCTGTTAAGATTTTCCAGCAATTTCTGGCTTTTTGACCCACTGTCCTCTGTTAGCTACATTCTTTTACAAGTTGAGAAGCCTCATTACCTGACTCACTTGTCTTGTCCAAACCATTTTCTCAGCAGAGCATCATGAATGAAAGAAAACAGGGACAAGGGTTTATCATAGGGGTGGCACCTGTTTTGTGTGCCTCCAATTGCCTCCCAGATTGAGACAATTGGTGATTCCTCTAACCTGGCAGAGAGGTAGCCTTGTTTTCCCAGTTGGGAAACTAATAACCTTTCTTGCCTGCCTTTGAGGCAGGTGAACATGGATATGAAGGCTTCAGGGTCTTAAGTGGATTATGAATTGCTCATGTGAGGGTTTTAATGAGGGCAGGTTTAGAAATTCCACAATGGACCTTTATACCCAGCACTTAATTGCCAAGGCTATGGTAATAAAGGTAATCCAGAGCCAATTTGCCTATTATTTCCTTTTCTCGCCAACTTGAAGGAGTTGTGCTTAATAGTGTTTCACCTTAATTCTATTCTTTAACAAAGGAATGATGGACCTGCTGTTGCATCAAATACATCAAATAATTAACAAGTTGTATCTTTTCTTTTGTTAGGACTCTGAGCTAAACACCATCTATGTCTGAATATTTATTGATTTTTGAACTCTTTTAACTTGTTTACTATTTCAACCCCCTAATATAATCAGATAGTAAATTTTGCCAAGGATTACTCACTTTGGGGATTGAATTTTACTTATGCCCTCCCTTGTCAACACTTGAGGGACACAAATATTCAAATTATTTATAATCTCATCTTGATCTTCTATATGTGACCTTTCGCATATTTTAATTCTCTCATATTTTCTTTGTGTTAAATTATATTACAGAAATAACCTAGCCTCTAACTGTTTTCACCACGTTGCTCCATCTGTAATCTTTTAACATATATTATTGTTTTTCTTATTTTACTCAGCAGATCATTTTTATATATATTTATTAACCCACTCAGAGCTGACATCTGCTGTTTTTGGATAGATATTTATCCGTCTGCACAATATTCTGTCTTTTGAAGATATTCCACATATTCCTGCTGATGGGATAATCATAGTTTCCAGATTGACTCACTAAGGCTGTTGCCTCATTTTTATTTTGAAACCTGCTCTTCTGAATCATAGAATCATAGAATCCCTACAGTGTGGAAACAGGCCCTTTGGCCCAACAAGAGCACACCGACCCTCAGTGCATCCCACATAATCTACACATCCCTGAACACTACAGGCAATTTAGCATGGCCAATCCACCTAGCCTGCACATTTTTAGACTGTTGAAGGTAACCGGAGCACCTGGAGGAAACCCATGCAGACACGGGGAGAATGTGCAAACTCCACACAGACAGTCATCCAAGGGTGGAATCGAACGCAGGTCCCTGGTGCTGTGAGGCAGCAGTGCTAACCACTGAGCCACCGTGCCGCCCCAGAAGTAGGGCCAGAAAGCAGCACGTCACTCATGCTGGACATAGTGTGTTGGAACAGTCTTGAATCCAAAATTTGTGCGCTTCTATTGATTCGTTACATAGCTTCAAACTTTTCTGTCTCTGTAAACGCACTCCAGCTCTTCAATCTATCTACATTTATTTCTCATTTCTGCAGCATTGATGTTACAATAACAGGTAGGGATATCATTCAGTACTGGTTGTAGTTCAGCTGAGCTGTAGGTGGGGCTTGTCTGGACCCATCCTTCCACTTAAATTATATATTTTTTTGGTTGTGACGTTGTCCCTCAATAATTCAACCACCTCTCCTTTCTGTCTTTTTGATCACTCCTGATTTGAATATATTCTAATCTATTACTGATCTTGACTTAACTGCACACATAGTTCATTATTGTTACTGCTTTCTGATTTTTCTGTATAAATCAATTATCCGAGCTGCCTCAATGTCTGTCTTCTGTTTGTGCAGATATTTTAGTTTGACTTTGGCATTCCCTTCATCCTGAGATTTTTATTTTACTTGTCTAATTGAATGTCCATGCATCTTACCCTCCTTCAATTTCTGACCCAAATCCTGATCTGTGCAAGATGAAAAACTTCAACTAAATGTACCTTTTTTCCAGCAATATATTTTTTCCTCCTTCAAACAATGGTATCATCGGCAAGGCCAGAATTTATTGTGAACTCCTGTCTACCTGTGAGAAGGGAGGTAGTGTGGGTTTATCTGTTTCTGTAGAAACCTGTTCTAGATGGTCTCCAATGGTCTCTACCATGCATGGCATCTCGCAAAAATTCCCTTCATGACCAGAACCTGCTCCAATTTTCTCTCCTGTGCAGACAGTGAATATGATGTATCACCTAACTCTTGATGCCCAAGCGACCCAGGCTGCAAGATCCAGACCACTGTGTCACTTCTAACTCTGGACCAGTCCTCACCCTCTTGATCGATTCATCAAGAGTCATGAAAACCCTAACTATGAGGTTATGCGCTTTGGCAAGAATAGAAGAATTGAATATTATTTAAATGGAAAAAGATTGCCAAAAGCTATGGACCAGACGGACTTGGAAGTCCTTGTGTATGAGTTACACAAAGCTAGCATCCAGGTTCAGTGCATCATAGGTAAGGCAATTGGAATGTTGGCCTTTATCTCAAAGGGAATGAAATATAAAAGTAAGGAGGTTTTTCTAAAACTATACAAAGTATTAGTCAGACCATAGCTTCCTTACCCAAGGAAAGATATACTGGCATTGGAGCAGTCCAGAGAAGTGGTTCTCTTAACATGACAGGTTGAGTAGATTGGGCCTGTACTCATTGGAATATAGATGAATGAAAGATGTCCTTATTGAAAAATACAAGATTCCTAAGAGGATTTGACAGGGTAGATGCAGAAAGGTTGAAATAACTACATGGTTCATCTACACACAGAGAAATTGGCAAGATTTAAAGTGCAGCTGAAGACAATTCCTTCCACTATTTCCTTTGTCTCCAATGACAGAGTTTCCCATCTTCTTTTCTCTGGGTGCTGAGCCTAGTGGTTACATCACATCCCCTTTGTTTTCTGACTGCACTGACGGTTGTTGCTATGTCTGCCATCAGTTCAGGTTGTGAGCCAACACGCACCGCTTGCCCTGGGCTCCAGGTTTGTGGCTTGAAGCTTTCTTTTTGATCAGTTTCTCGGCAGCGTTGGTGCGAATGACCAGCCTGACCAGGATTCACTTGTATGACCCAGGGTATTTCTTCTCCACGGCTTGTTCATGCCTGCAACACAACAAAAACTGCTTAGGCCTGAGGGAAGGGAGATGAGGTAGATCTTTACAAGGCCGTGCTCAGTGTTGTTGAGTAAAGGCCCGTGCTCTGCTCTGTGGGTGAGGGAGTTCAGTGCTAGGTTCACAGGATGGGGAAGGGAGGTAGCTCCAGCAGCAGTGGAGATCCTTCAATTAACAACAGCATCCCCCTGGGCCTGGTCTGGCCATAAAATGTAAGAGCACTAATATAATGACCTTCTTTCCCATTTTGCTTCTGTATCACAAAGAGTGAATGTAATCAGATTGATCCCCAATATTATCTACTAATAATGATTTGTCCCTAGTGGTTTCTATAAGGCACTGGATCATAAGTCAGGCATACACACTAGATCTTTGCCCACGAAGTGGGGAATGGCATGAGGGGGTATTGGGCACTGGGGTGAATAGGAAGCAGAGGACCTTATAGAGTGTCTCGTCCTGGGCTTTGCTATAGTTTCCATCTACAGGACAAGGTTGAATATGGCCAGTGCAGAGTAATCACTGTGATTTCAGACGCCTCTTTTTCAGTATACCCCATACAACATCAGCCTTGTAAAAGGAGGGAGTGGTTTCTGATAGTACACTTGAGGCATTCCACAACGTGTGGGACCCATTTTGCCTTATTTTTATTTAGTTTCTTATTAAAGATACTCCTGTAAAAAGATAAAGAGTGGAAACTTTATGTACATGGGAACATAGGAACAAAAGTAGGCCATTCAGCTATGGAGCTTGCTCTATCATTTACTGAAATCATGACTGATTGAAACAATTTACTGCTTTTTACACACACTATTCCTAAAACCATGTTACACCATTGCTAATCAAAAAATTATCAACATCTATTTTAAATTTACTCAAAGACTGAGTTCCACAGCCCTCTAGCATAGAGAATCCCAAATATTTAACACGCTCTGTATAAAAAAAAATTCAACTTCAGTCCTAAATGGGTTCCATCTTAGCTCCAAGTTGTGCCCATGGTTCTAGACTCTCCAGCCAGGGGAAATATTTTATTGTAGTCACCCTATCTATCCCTTAGGTTTCTGTACTTTTCAATATGATCTCTTAACTTTCAAAACTCTAGCAAAAACAGGCCCAGTTTGCCTAATCTCTCTTCATGAGACAATGTCAGTATCTCAGGGCCAAGTCTGATGAAATTTTGTTGCACTTCCTCGGTGGCAATAATATATTTCCTGAGACAAGGAGATCAGTTCTCTTGCAATAAAGTCTAATGTTCCATTCCATAACATTCCAAAGGCCAATAGCTTGCTGCACATGCATGTTAGCCTTCAGTAGCTTATTCATAAGAAAATCAAAGGCTCTTTGCACATCTGTACTTTCCAACCTCACAGCATTCTTTACAGTTCTTCATCCCAAAATAAAAATCTCACATTTTTCCACATGATCCTCCAACTGCCATATTCTTGCCCAATCACTAAGCCTGTAAACATCCTCCTGAAAATATTTCACATTTTCCTCACAACACGCATTCCTGCTTAACTTTGGTCACATTTGGTCCCAATGACCAAATCAATGATATATATTGTGAACAGCTGGGATCCTGAGTATTGATCCTTGTGGTATTCTACTAGTCAACAATGCATGAGCCATTTATTTCTACTCTGTCATTTTCTGCCTGTTAGTTAGTCCTTGGTCCATGCTGGTAGATTATTTCCTACAACATGTGCTTTAATTTTGCTAACCAAACTCCAGCAGGGGAATCCTATTAAAAACCTTTTGAAAATCCAAATATACAGTATCAATCAACTCCCTTTTTGACAATTTTGTCAAATATAATTTTTTATTTGCAAATCCACACGACTATTCTCATAAGACTATTTTATCTACTAAATGTTCATTATCATATTCTTTATGATAG